TTTTTTACCTGTATAATGTCCGTCAGTGATATTCAAAGATTGATACAATAAGTAACAAATGTGTAGTGAGAGAGAATTAAATGTCCGTCAGTGATATTCAAAGATTGATCCAATAAGTAACAAATGTGTAGTGAGAGAGAATTAAATGTCCGTCAGTGATATTCAAAGATTGATCCAATAAGTAACAAATGTGTAGTGAGAGAGAATTAAATGTCCGTCAGTGTAAAAAACGTGGTAAAAGAAGTACATGCGAGTTAAACAACTAATGAGATATTTATTAACTGGTTTCAGCGTCAAGAAAGGCAGTTCTGTTGGCCGTTCAGAAAGCTTTCGTCAACAGGTGAGTGATTTTCGATACGGATTTTGTTATATGCTTATTTTAACAGTTACACGTTTTGTCGAGACGTGCGTTTTGGTGTGAATGAGTTATTATGGATGGTGAAAACAAAAAATTGAATTCCGTTAGTAATTAGAGAAGAGGGGGAATGTCCCACTTGGCAGACAAAATCATAAGAAGAATGTTAAGTAACACGAAACAGTAACATTCTTTGTATGTGAACCTGTTATATATGCCTATTCCCTGCGAGATTAGTCGTTGTTTAACGTGGACCTTAATAAGTATTAGCGCATTTGATTGTTTATGATAATTTTTTACGCCGTGAAATTTAAAGTGTGACGCTTTCAGTAGATTTATGCATTTGACAGATCATACACATGTTTTTCATATTAGTTTTATAGCATTTGCAGGCCTTTTTTTCCTTAAATATTTCATTATTACTGATTAAAAGTTTTTATTGTACAGTACACAAGTTTGTTTTGTGAAGTAACATATTTTTTTTTGTTTTGTTTTGCTGTGTATAAGAACTTAAAACTTACTAAGTTCACATCCTGTTGCACTCCCCCCCTTTGCTGTCATGGATGTGTGTATAAGAGTGATGGGTAAATCCCACTATTTGGGGTGACAATTGTAACCTAAAAGTTGGCGGTGGGCAGTGTTGACTTGCTGCCTTTCCTTTTGGCTAGAGCAGCTCAAGTAGCATTGTGCGAAATTCAACAAAGTGGGCTTTACCTCTTGGTAAAGTTGGATAAAAGACAGTAGTTAAACATTATAAAGCATACTGAGTATTTATGTAAATATGTATTACACTTTACAAAATATTAATAATTAGCAACTTGATAGTATATTGTGTACTCGCATTCAAACGTTTTATTTAACTAGATATGGTTGCTTAGAATTTTCTTATTAGTTTCTTTGCACATAAATGCAAACGATATTTATCCATATACATTCATATATATATATATATATCTGTGTGTGTGTGTGTGTGTAATATACTTATGTTGCTGCTAAGCGCAGCATGAATGTTATCTTAGTAAACATGCGATATATACAAAGAAAGAGAAGCCAACAAGATCACATGATTTTCCAGTTTTTGTGTGTTAATATTCGTAGTTAGCTTGCCAGTTGAAGGCATGATTCCAAGTCTGTTTCGTCATTGATCAATATACGTAATCTGGCTATTTTTGTACGCCTGTTGGTTTTGTAGTGGGAAGACTGACTCGGGAGTTGTGTGTTGTTATAGGTTGTTATAGGCCTAAAAAATAGTCGAGCTCTACAAGAGTATTAAATACAAAAATATGATTAATTTTGTTCCTTGCTGAACTTTGTTTGTGTGAAAAGAATTGCTCGAATTTGAAACCCAGCATGATTTCTGGACAATAACTGTCATGGAGTATTTGGAGGGGGGGATCGAGTTACAATATATCCGTTATAACTGTGAATGCTAAACGACTTGTGATTTTTGTTAGTAAATGGTTATTAATAATGAGGTAGTAAATTTAGCTGTAAGTTATTTCCCGTTACATAATGACAGGAATGTTTATTATTCTAGTTTAAAAGCATTCAGCAGTGACATCTTAACGTTAATTTATTGACAACTTGCTTCTAGTCGCCCTTGTTAGGTGTATAGGTTCAACAAACAGCGTCATCGTGATTCAGCGATAAATTTGGATTCTGTTATATATTACTTTCCTATTCCCGTTCTTGTTGGTACATCAACACTTAATGTCACCGTTTGATCACAAGGTTTGTATTAAAAAGTAGCTTAATAAAAACTTTTAATTTTTCCAATGAGTGCGTTTACGCACCTAACTCGTTTGCACCTTTTTTTTCCAACGAGTGTATTTACGCACCTAACTCGTTTGCATCTTTTTTTCCAACGAGTGTATTTACGCACCTAACTCGTTTGCACCTTTTTTTCCAGCGAGTGTGTTTACGCACCTAACTCGTTTGCACCTTTTTTTCCAGCGAGTGTGTTTACGCACCTAACTCGTTTACATCTTTTTTCCAGCGAGTGTGTTTACGCACCTAACTCGTTTACACCTTTTTTTCCAGCGAGTGTGTTTACGCACCTAACTCGGCTGCACTTTTTTTTCCAATGAGTGTGTTTACGCACCTAACTCGGCTGCACTTTTTCTCCAGCGAGTGTGTTTACGCACCTAACTCGTTTGCATCTTTTTTTCCAGCGAGTGTGTTTACGCACCTAACTCGGCTGTACTTTTTTTCCAACGAGTGTGTTTACGCACCTAACTCGGCTGTACTTTTTTTCCAATGAGTGTGTTTACGCACCTAACTCAGCTGCACTTTTTCTCCAACGAGTGTGTTTACGCACCTAACTCGGCTGTACTTTTTCTCCAACGAGTGTGTTTACGCACCTAACTCGGCTGCACTTTTTCTCCAACGAGTGTGTTTACGCACCTAACTCGGCTGCACTTTTTCTCCAACGAGTGTGTTTACGCACCTAACTCGGCTGCACTTTTTTTCCAGCAAGTGTGAATGTGGAGTAGATGGAAGCAAGGAAGACAATTATCAAGAGTTGTCTGTGACGCACATGCTGGATAAGGTTCTAGTGATGTAATATGTGCCTCGTGGCACATATTACATCACTAGAAATGCACGCTTGTGCTGGAAGGTTTGGTACTTGCAGAACATGCTCATAACCATTACAACATATCTAACAGTCAGCTTTACAACTTTTATGAAAATGTGTATTTGTTAATTGGAACCGCTTAATTACAGTAATATAAACATTTTTATATAATTATAGTTATTTAAGCGTTTAACTAGGGTAAAAGAAAAAGAGTAGGCCTGCAGAATCTATCGCATAATCGACCGTTATTACTGTTATGATTTTAAATCAAAATCTGCGAAGTTTTTGACACTAATCATATTAAGCATACTACTTTAAACTGGTGCCTCCCAGTGGCACAGCGGACTTGCAACGCTAGAATCCGGGTTGCGATACCCGTGGTGGGCAGAGTACAGATAGCCCATTGTGTAGCTTTGTGCTTAATTACAAACAAACAAACAAACTTTAAACTGACTTTACGTGTAAGATTAAGAGTTCTTTTAAAGAATAGAGAATCAAATATTTGGAAATGTAAATGTATTGGTCTTTAATTTGCCAAGATAATATTGTAATCAATATTAAAAAAGTTGTGTTCAAGTATCTTGTTATCATACTTAGCTGTGGGGAGGTGTTTCTTCACAAGTATAAAGGTAGGGGTATCGTTGTTCATTTTCTGTACAATTCGTATATCATTCAGTAACGTGAGGAAATCAGGCTTCCATAACACATCGCGCCAGGAGTGTCAGATTACCAGATTTTATTTACATAACTTAACATGGTATATAAACACCACATTGTGTACTTCAACGTAGATCCTTTAGGTTTGAGATGGACAAAGCACTTGAGACTGTATGGCGTTTTTATGTCATCTGACAGTTTTTTCCCGGCTTTTGAAATAAAAGTGTTCATAGACCTTTATTAAAATGTAAATTTATCAAATGAGGCTTAACATTTTCTCTCTTGAGTGCCTTCAAAGGCCATTGGTCTTAATGTTTGAAAATCGGAAAAAAATTGTTTTAATTTTAGAAGTACAAACATAACATTCCCGCGGGCTTTCCAAATATCTGTACAAATGAAGTATCAGTTTTGATTTTGTATAATGTCTAGTAAGCGTATAGGTCATTGTTAAAACTAAATTTTCAACGATGGTAAAATAAATATTCCATCTAGACAAATGAAATTGAACTTTTAGACTGAAGTCAATTAAGTCTTAAAAGTGTTGATCGCAAGAGGAAATACTTTGAGCTCACTCACTATACATGATAAAGTTTAGAATACATGGTTATCTTGATAATTAGTCCTTAAACGGGGGTGTTTTTATTCTATCAGAAGATTGTGAAGCATATTACGTAAAACTCCATTTCAGTTTCTTTAATCCCCCCCCCGTGGTGGGCAGAGCACAGATAGCCCATTGTGTAG